CATTAATTGCATCACAAGGGTTTTCATAATTCTCAAACACCTTAAGCTTAATGGTAGCGGCTGCAATTGCAGTTTCTATCTTTAAGTCCTCCAACTCAGCTTTTAACTTTGCTTTCAGCAGTTGTATTGCTTTCTTCTTCTCTAACAATTCTGCTCGTGCTAGAAGAGGTGCCCTTTTAACCTCTTCTTTCATGCGAGCTACTGAACTTGTGTTTGACACAACAGATTTACTTTTTCTTCTTTTAAAATGAAGATCGGCTATTACTGAAACGCTGTCATGTGGATGAACCTCGTCCTCATGTTGAGCTCTTCATTTATGCTCTTGAATCCAGTTTTCAGCCTCCAATAAAAATTGTTTACTATTAGCTGCCCTTGACTCATTCCAGTTATACTGATCTGCATTAGCTTGATCTTCAGGTAACATCTGCACAATATGGTTATTTAACAGTATAAACTCTTCATGTTGCTTGTAAAAACTTTGCAGGGTTTCTGATTCTAATTGACCAACATGCTCTTTGTTGCCCTTCATACTCTCTATCTCCTTCATTTTAGCTGCAATTTGAGTCATTTTTTGCTCTTCTTTGTCCAATAAACCTGTGTAGTTTCTCTTCAAGTACAGTTTGTGTGTACTTAGGCTCCCTCTTGTGGTCACCTGCATGTGGTGCGTCTGTCGCAAAACAACAAGCAATTGCTCATTTTTGTGGGGATATTTTCCATCCCTGCGCAGCAGTAATTTGGTTTACTTAGGGTACACAGTGAAAAACTTTATAGACTAACTTAGGGTAAGGGAATCATTGGACAACATCTTCTCCGTTGGCTGGCACTCCTTATTCAGACAAAGAAAGAAACACGGCGGTGGCGCGCGCGGGCACCTGCATGGGCACTGGCGTCATAACGTCATACATTAACAAACATAGACATATATAAAGATGGTAACAAATAACAAAAAAAATGCCTAACAATTTACCCTTTTTTATATACTTTTTTAATGCTTTTTTTTTTAATACTTCAATTTGTCAGTCCAAACGAACTTTGAAACATCCACCAGAAGCCTCCGTACTCTGTAACATAAGTGGTTTAACTTCATCTGAACTTGTAAAGAACTTTTTTTTAAAGAAATCTTTAT